CTACCTTGTAGATGAACATTTGCATGTGCATGCAACTTCCTGCTTTGCAAACATCTGTAACCAATCTGTGTCTGTGTGCCCATTTGTCACAAGTGTTATGAACTAAATTGAGGCAGTGATCTGTCAACAAGTGACGGCAAGATGTTGTGCACATAGGACGTCAAAACGCAGCTTTTACAGGCATTTGACGTTTTTTTTTACCTCTATGTTAGCCCACACGTATAAGTGTTTACAGGCAGAAATAACATCCTTTGCGAATTCAGAAGAGGAGCGATTGGACAGAAAAAAAAATTCCAAACACAGATAAATGCGCATTAACACTAAACGCATTGAGGCATGTTCTTGCATTTATGTATAATGCATTCTGATAGCCAGAATTAATATTCGGGCCATTTGAATGCATTAACGCCAAACAAGTATTAAACATGCCCTTAAATGCTGCTTTAGGCACGTTTTTTAAGCTGCGATTTTCTCCCCTAGAGCAAAGGCATCCTGTGTGCATGAGACCTTAGGGCTGGTACACACCAGATGCAGTCCAGAGCAATATTTTTTCTGCACCAAAAATGCACGCACAGTGTTTTTAATGTATTGTGTTCCAATGGCCCCAGTTCACACCAGTGCAGTCAGTTCCAGTCAGTTTCCGAAGCAGGAAAAACGTAGCAAATGCTGCAATTTTGTGGTGTGAACTGGCCCTTAAGCAGGCTGATTAGCAAACAGCGGCATACATAATTTATTGCAACATTTCCTACAATGAAGTTCAAATATTTTCTATACATTAAAGTGTTGCTAAACCCACAACAGTAAAATCAGTCTGTGCATGCAGTAAAGCATGCTTGATATACTCACTGTGGAACCTAAGGGGTTAATCCTCTGCATTGTGTAAAAAGGCTGTTTGATCCTTTCTTCTCTGCCCCTCCTCTTGTTAAAATGACCACCTGATACAGACTGAATCCGTAATCACATGCAGGTGCTCAGTTTGGTGTGTATTGCTAGAGAGGTTTTTTTTTTTCTTTGGAGAGTGCATGTGATCAGCACGGGGCCAATCAGCACTGTCCCGGCAGAGGGTCAGGGGTTTCACATGCTCCTAGAGCAGAAAGAAAACTCCTCCTACAAGCTTTAACCAGTGCTCTGCTGAAGTCACAAGACTGCTCTAACTGCTGATGAGAAAAGGTATTTAGCAGTTTATATTTACTAAAATAATTGCATTTCCATGTTGTGTGTACTGTGGGAGATCAGATATAGTGAATGCAGGGTCCTGGGTTTAGTATTACTTTAATACTTCTGTTTAATGAATTTATTATGCAATTTAATTTATTGTGCAATTAACTTTTTTTTTTAAATATTTTCCAGGAGATGGCCCACTGTGGTTCTTTACTGCAGAGAACATTTTACCCCCTAAACCTTGATATGGTTTGACTTGTGCTATTATCTAAAATTGAACTCCAGGGGCAAATAAAAGTTCTCCTTTGCAATGGGGCTGCCCTGCACGTCAAGGTTTAAATGCTTTTTTAGGTCTAGGGTATCAAAAAAAGCCCTTTTAAGTTCCCCCATCCTCCACTCCTGAGGCTCCCTCCTGGCTGTAAGACTGGCACCCAAAGCTTCTTCTCCCCTATGCTCTGGCAGCTACAGATCCTTTGAGAACATCAAGTATAATGCAGAGCACACGGCCCCCATACTAGATGAAGGGCATCAGGGGACAGTTCACAAGCTGAAACATAGGGGAGTAGAAGAGAATGCCGGGAGAGTTGGGGATGCAACTGTACTTTTTCCGATACCCTAGACGTACTTTTTAAAATCTCACTTTTTTCAATTCCAGTGTAAAGGCACATGCTGACACATGTATGATGATGGATTAATGTGCATTGTCCTACTTGTAACTGTAAATATATAGAAATATTTCAGTTTCATTGTCAGATTCTCTGCATGTCTTCCTAGAATAAGCTGAACTATGCAACCAATCGTTAATGCCCATGGCAGCAGATGATCCAGCCGGACTAGATTCCTTTCTAGCAATACTCCATTATAGTGGTGCTCCCTGGCCTTATTCCTTGAATTTATATTGAGAGGGGAGGACGTGTTGGTGACACCATTCAGAAGAGAATCTTAATAAAGAAAAGAGATAATATGGCAGAAAATGAACCTATGTGAAGCTCCCCTTTAAGCAAACTGATAAATACATAGTTGAAATATGTGATCTGTATTACCAGCCAAAGGATTTGTAATTCTATCCAGTCAGTTCTGTGATCCAGATAGCAAAGTCAAAGGCAATTAAACAATACAGCTTGATCAAGGACCCATCCTGCCTGCTGACTGGAAAGTGAAAATTAAAAGGAATCTGCGGTGGACAGCTTTTTTAGATTGCGTCCAAGCAGCCATTTTGATGGATTGAGGAGGCAATCCTGCTACCTCCTCAAATGCCTGCTTTTTTTTTTTTTTTGCTCAATGCCAAGTTACAATAGAACTAATGTGCCGCAATCACTTAGCTCACAGTTGAGGCCCTGTTGACTTGAATGGCTGCGTTTGAAAGGGGGAACCACCTGACAACTCAACATGCCACATTAAATTTGTCTGGGGGTGTGGTATGCTAACAGCCCCCTCCAGCTGTATTTTAGGCTTTAGGTATGCAGTTGGGGCTTGGTAAAATTTCAGCTCAATTGCCTATTTTTACCAATCCCTAGCCACCCATGTGAAAGAGGTTTTAGTGTGACATTACAGTGCTGGTTAGCTCAAAACTGGCTCTCTCATTCCCAGTCTTAACTGGGGGCTGAATAAAATAAAAAAAACAGACCCCTGTATCCATGCTATACAGCATGAATGGATGAACCTCCTGCTGTAGCTATTGTATTTTTACAGCCAATCTGCCAGCTGTAAAAATACTCAAGCAGCAGCTGCATCTGAATTGATGCAGTTGCTGTTCAGCTGACAGTTTTCTGCCTGACTTCTTCCATTTTTCATTTGAGGGATGTCAGGTGGAAAGTGACCGCCAGGGCCACCCAATAAGCTAATTTCTGCCAGTTCACAGGAACCAGAGAAAATTCTTACAGTGTATGGCCAGTTAAATTCTGATGTATAAAAGAATTACAGGACAGCATAAATAGCATGTTTAATGATATTTCATCTCTAGACCAAATGGGTTTTCTGCTTCAAAATTAACGGACGGGAATAGGGAAGCTGCCATTGCTGACCTGTTTTTGAAGGTGCATGGTCAAAATCGGTCATATTTGTCCTTTACTACTCGGTGTGCCATTTAGTTGGAGCAAGCGTCACAATTCATCAGTGACTCAAGCAAGGATTTAAGATGTCAACCCTCAAACTTACAGTGAAGGAAACAAGTATTTGATCCCCTGCTGATTTTGAATGTTTGCCCACTCACAAAGAAATGATCAGTCTAAATATCGAATGGTAGGTGTATTGTAACACTGAGAGACAGAATAGCAACAAAAAATTCAAAAGAAATGCATGTCTAACAAATTATGCACTGATTTGCATGTTCATGGGGGAAATAAGTATTTGATCCCCTATCATTCAGCAGGATTTCTGGCTACCAGGTGTCTTTCATACAGGTAACAAGCTGAGATTAGAAGCAGTCTCTTAAAGGGAGTGCTGCTAATCTCATTTTGTTACCTGTATAAAAGACACCTGTCCACAGGAGCAATCAAACAATCAGATTCCAAACTCTCCACCATGGAAAAGACCAAAGAGCTGTCCAAGGATGTCCGGGACAAGATGTCATTTCTTTGTGAGCGGGCAAACATTCAAAATCAGCAGGGGATGAAATACTTATTTCCTTCACTGTACACCTTCAAAGAAAAAGTCAACAATGTTAAAAGTCATATTTATATCCTGACAGGTTCCACTGGGTCTGGGCAAGACAAAAAATATTCAGTACATATCTGCAATACATGCGCACGAAGAAATGTTCAAGTACAGAAAAATACTGTAACATTTAGGATCCTTTCACAAGGGCGAATCCACCAAGTGGATCTGCCTGATGAGTGGGGGGGTTCTGTCTGCTAATTTCCACTGAGCAGGCAGATGACAGGTCAATGTCCACTTGGCTTGTGCAGAGCGAACACAGCCCTCTGTTCTCCATGGGGCAGCCGGATATAAACAGACCGCCTGTCCACTTACATCCGTCTATCATCCAATCTAAACCGCTAGACAGATGGGGAAAGGATCGCCCATCCATCTGTTTTTGGTGGATTGGATCAGATGCAGGCAGGTGTAAATTAACATGTGTTTACATCTGCCTCCCCGTAGAGAACAATGGGTGGTCTGATAAGGTCTACCTGAAAAACGGACGGGTGGACCTTGTCGGTCCACCAGTGTAAAAGGGCCCTAAATCTGCCAGAAATTCAAAGTACTCCTATAACTTCTTGTTTGAGCTGAAAACCCAGTGCAATTTCTGCACTGAAATCCCAAGCATTGTTGTCAGCCCTGCCTAGTTCTTCCCTGCTAGACTACAGACTTCCACCTATCCGCCTAGTCTTCTCTGTCCCTAACCGCCTGCATATTTTGATTTCCTTCTCAGAAAAACAATGCTGCTGCCTTGAATTAAAAAAAAAACCTGTCCATGCACTGTGTATAGAAAAAGGGTTCTTGGGGGATGTAGTTCTGGGGGCATACCTACATCAACAGGTTCCGATACCCAGCAGCTGGTTTTACTAAAAAGTAAAAGAAAAAAAATCACAATGCTGGGACATGCTTTATATGGGGAAAGGGAGGTTTGAAGTTTCATTTAGGAAATAAAACCTGGACATGCACTTCAAAAATAAAAAAAGCCAAGCTCTTCCTGCTCTGTGTTACACAAAGTAGAGGTTACAGGGGATGGTTGGTTAACAATAGAACACTAGGCATACACCATGCAGACCATTCCCAGCAGCACCTGATTGCATTATTGCAGTGGAAATAAACAAGAGCAATGGGACATTTATCTTTAGGTTGAAAGTTTCACTTAAAGCGGAGCTCCACCCAAAAGGGGAAGTTCTGCTTTAAGCCTTTGTCCCCCGCTCCCCATTAAGGATTGGCACCTTTGGGGAGCGGGTACCCAAATTTGACAGGTACCTGCTCTCACTTCCGCTGCAATCGCCTAGGTGATCGGAAGCGGACGTTTCCTCCCCCCTATAGTCTTCTGGGACACGTAACAGGTCCCAGAAGACTATGGGGCCAATCACAAAGCGCAGTGGGTACCCGGCTGTGGAGCCGCAAGCTGTCACAGCTGGGTGCCCACACTGAAGATGCTGACATCAGGGAGAGAAGACGGACGGTGTAATCAGTGGTGGTGAGGACACCACTGGACCGAGGGACAGGTAAGTGTCTGTATTTTAAAAGTCAGCAGCTACAGTTTTTGTAGCTGCTGACTTTTATTTATTTTATTTTTTTAGGTGGAACTCCGCTTTAAGGTTTGACGTTAAAGCAGATTTTTCAAGAAGCCATCTGAAATTCAATAATTTACTTGGTAAATATGTGAAGGTTTTCTAACTTGTTGAGAGAAGCTACAGAGCTGATGATAACCAAGACTCCACATCCTGTGCAATCTTGAAAACAGACGTTTTCGACTTAGGAAATGTGCGGTGAAGAAGAGCACGACACCCACTACCCTCATTGATCATTTTTTTCAGTTTTCGGTGTTTTGACAGCTTGAGTGACAATTACTCTGAGGGCTCGATCACACCAGGACGCAGCTCAGGAAACCACAGTTGCATGTGTGTATCCACACTTGAGTTCAAAACGCACTAGGTGTGCAATTTTCTGCAGGTGTAAGTATTGACACTCCAAATGCAGATCACAAATGCAGTGGGGTTGACTTAGTAAAACTAGAGAGTCCAAAATCTGGTGCAGCTCTGCATAGAAACCAATCAGCTTCCAAGTTTCATTGCCCAAGCTTAACTGATCAAACTGAAGTTAGAAGCTGATTGGGCACCATGTACAGCTGCACCAGATTTTACGCTCACCAGTTTTAGTAAATCAATCCCCGCATGTTTGTCTGCACCAATTCCATGCAATCTGGTGCAGTGCGTTTTGAAAAGTAGCGCAGCACTACTTTTTGTGTGATCCATTGTGATTTCAGACTATCCAAATGAATGGGCTGATAATCACACAGGAACACAGACTGCATTCCTGTGCGATTCAGGTGTGAACCAGCCCTAACACTGTACCCTGACGCATTCTATTTTTGAGACAGCTTTCTTTTGGTGGTTTTTCATTTTTTTATTTTGTTTTACTATTTCAAGGAAAAAAGGTGGATTATAGATTCCTAGATTGTAAACTCGAAAGAGCAGGGCCCTCGATCCCCTCATGTTTTGCATTGTATTGGTATTGTTCTGTCACATGTTCTGTCCCCTTTGTAATGTACAGCGCTGAGCGAACTATTGGCTCTTTATAAATACTGTATAATATAATAATAATTATATGTGGGCTAAATGGGGTCAGAAGATGCAAAATTTTAATAAAGCTCAACTGAACTTATAGTTTACATCAGATATATACATTCCTGGTGCGTCGAAACAAAAGGATGGGAAAATTCTTACAGTTCGATTTCTGCAGAAAGCAGCCACAACCTAAAAAGAAAGCCTGCTGTAGAGACCCTTGCTTTCTGCAAGGAAGCAGTGGTCTCTTTGCAGAGGTCCGCCATGCCCCCTGCTGAGTCAGAGCTAGAATTCTTCAGAAGGCAGTATGAATTGTTCTGACTGGAGAGGTAAAGCTGTGATTCAGCAGAGGGCATGTCAGACCTCTGTAGATAGACCATGGCTCCCACACTTAGAATGAGGCTCCTTCTCTGAAGCAGAGCATAGGCTTTTCTACTTAGGCTATAGCTTCTTCCTAAACAAAAAGAAAACCGTAAAGTTGGCCATAGATGGTAGGAAATTTGGCCGGTTTTGCAGGAACTAGCTGAATTTTAATCAGTGTGTGGCTATCCCTGTTCAACAAAAGTCAACCATTAGATCAACTTCTGTCAAATTAACAAGTTGGAAAAGTTTTGTTGATCAGCGTCTGCAGAGTACAGCTGTCAGGTCTATGATAGTTTCTCCTAGGATCATAGGGTATCCTTTAACAACAACTCAGTAGTGTGAGGGCTTCCCCAAACAATTTATTAAATTTGTATCTAATCAGTGTTGTCCTTACTGTATAGTTGTTGGTGAATCGATCGACTGCTGTACAAATGCCATGTTGCTTTTTGCTCGATCAGTGCCGCAGACAATAGGCTGCAGTGCTGATCTGTGTATTCTGACAGCGGGGCAGTTTCCTCACTGTCAGATACAATGACACAACGGGGAGGCTTTCTCTATCCACACTGAATGGGTACATGAGGGAACCACTGGTTGATTGGAGGAAAAAAAAATGACCTATTTATGGCCAGCTTAACACACATGACCAGCTGTAGGCATAGGGACCCAGATGGCAAAGCGCTCAAGATGCGTAAAGTAAAGCACCTTATGGCTAGGTTATGTTTTGGATTTTTTCTTCTTTAATATTTATCTTTAAAATGTATGTTTGGTTTACACAAACGATAGCATTTCTCATTACGTTGCGTGGCCACCCATGTGCATTGTTTACTTTTAGACTTCTTTAATGGATGCTTGCTTTGCATCAGCATCTATAATTTAAACACACTTTTTACAATACTGCCTTTGTTTTAAACAAAAGAAAGGGAAAAAGGAATCCACCTCAGAACAATATAGCCTTCTTTAGTAAAAAAAAAAAAAAAATCAAATAAATAAAATGATATATATATATATATATATATATATATATATATATATATACATATACACACACACATACACCGAACATTTTCGTTGTTGTAAAATATTCATATTTTAGAGCTCATTCACATGGGCAAGTTGGCCCCTACATGGGCAAGTTGGCCCCTACATAAGTTGGCCCCTACATTGTGAGGAGCCTTTCAATTAACTGTCCCGAGCAGCGTGAAGCCGCGCCTGTTTTTGTTAATGATATGGAGCGAGTGTGCAGACTCGCCCTCAGCTTCAATTTTCTCAGGTATGCAAAGACGGGTAAACAGAGCTGGACCCACATTGTCTGCTTAGAGCTGTACCTTAAATCTCAACCTTGTATGGCTAACCATGCTAAACACAGGGCTAGCTGACACCTCTGTGTTCCTCTGCAATCAAAAGATCACAAAAGAGCCACATTTGGCCATCTACACTGTTAAAGAGATCCTATGGCCAATTTAAAAATTTGCAGGTAAAAGCACAAAAAAAATCAAGTGCTTTCTAAATGCAGACTTGCAGCACTCTTCTTTACATATATAATGTTTTATTTGCTTTTTTATGCACTAGAGTTCTCCAATTCTGGGAGAGTCAAATTAATGTCTGTGCTGGCCCAGCTTCTCTGCTCCTCCCTTCACTTCTCTACATAACCTTTTATATACAGTTGACGGGCGATCAAAGGTAAATATCGTAGCGTGTCACTTGAGTGACAGCTCTGAGTCTGCTGGGGCTGCTGACTTCACATTAGTGGTGCACAGAAATGGAAATTCTGGTGCTGAAACCGAAAATTCAAAATGCACTTGGCCAAAAACCAAAATGCGCAGTTTTTAAAAATTAATATATATGTTTTGGAAAAAAATACACTTTGATTAAAAAAAAAACAATATATACCCCAATGTTTTTGTAAAATATGAAAGAGGATGTTACAGCGAGTAAATAGACACCTAACATGTCACACTTTAACCACTAGCCTACAGGGCACTTATACCCCCTTCCTGCCCAGGCCAATTTCCAGCTTTCAGCGCTGTCACACTTTGAATGACAATTGCGTGGTCATACAACACTGTACCCATATGAAATTTTTAGCATTTTTTTGTGACAAATAGAGCTTTATTTTGGTTGGAATTTAATCACCTCTGGGTTTATTTTTTCTTAAACAAACCAAAAACCACTGAAAATTTAGAAAAAAAAATGTTTTTTCTTAGTTTTTGTTATAAAATTTTGTAAATAAGTGATTTTTCTCCTTCACTGATGTGCGCTAATGAGGCTGCACTGATGAGCACTGATGGACACTGATAGGTGGCACTGATGGGCACTGAAAGGCAGCACTGATACATGGCACTGATATATGGCACTGACAGGCGGCACTGACTGGCACTAATAGGCGGCATTGACTGGCACTGTTAGGCGGCACTGATAGGCAGCACTGACTGGCACTGATATGTAGGCGCATTGACTGGCACTGATGTGGCATGATGTAGGGCACTGATATGTGGCACTGATACGAAGCACTGACATAAGGCACTGATGGACACTGACAGGTGGCACTGCTGGGGCTACACTGATCATCAGTGCCCTGATGATCAGTGTACATGTCCCCTCCACGGAAAGCCGATTAACGGCTCTCCTCTCCTCTCGAGCTGTCAGCGTGACAGCTCAAGAGGAGAGAAATGCAGATAACCAGCATTTCCTGCTTACATGTGATCAGCTGTGATTGGACACAGCTGATCACATGACCGAGCCGACATCTTTGTCTCTTTCCATAATCGGTGGCCGATCGCCACGCTGCGCGCTTCCTGAGCCGCGCATGCGCAGTGAGAATGGGAGGACGTCAGAACGAGAGAACCACCTTGCGCCCGCCATATTACTATATGGCGGGCGGGAGGTGGTTAAAATTGTGCACACTTGTGGAATGGCATGAAACTGCAGTACTTAAAAATCTCCATGGGTGATGCTTTAAAAATTTCTACAGGAGAGCAGTGTAAAGTTACAGAGGAGGTCTAGTGCTAGAATTATTGCTCTTGCTCCGATGTTCGTAGCGATACCTCACGTGCCTGGTTTGAACACCATTTACATATGTGGGCATGGCCTACGTATGCGTTCACCACAGCACAGGGGGAAAGGGGCACTTCAAACTTTCAAAAAAAAAAATTATTTAATGCTTTTTTGGGGGTTTTTTGCACTGTTCCTTTAAAAAAGGAGTCAATAAGACTTCACATCTCTCCTCTGCAATGTAAAGCATTGAAACAAAAAAAAAGCAGTTATCTAGCGCTTAAAAAAAAAAAAAAAAAATGGCCGGCACGGAAGTATCGTCGCTCCGGTCCTCCAAGGGCAGAGATAAGTGAAGGACATCTTTCCTTCACACATCTATATGCCCAGCGTTGGAATCAATGGTTTCTCAGGTAAGGCTGAACTACCAAGCAGCGGCAAGGGGAGGGGACGGCAACAACAA